AAAGGAAAAGGAAATCTCCCTAATGTGAAAAAGATGTCACAAAAAGAAAGAAAGAAAGAAAAAAAAACACCTGTAAGGGGATGTGACCATTCACTACTTTATCCAAAATTGACGAAAAAAAATCAGTTTGACTTAAAGTGTAAGTGCATAGAATGCATGAAGGTAAAAAACTTCAGCCGTTAATATTACGTTAAGGCCCAACTAAAGTACGTTACAGTAATGCACTATAAAGTGCATTCATTTACTCCACACATTACAGTAACATTTGCAACGTGATGCAGTGCCAATCATTTTGAATGGCACCCCAACACCCTGCACAGCAGCAGCGAGCAAACATCACAGTGCATGCCGTGTGCTGCAGTGTGAGAAAGAAAGAAAAGAAAACAAATGAAAAGAAAAGAAAAAAAACACTGCATGTCCAATTTCTGCCATGCCAACTCTTTCGAACTTTCATACTGCGGTTTCATGTGTCACTCATAATGATCTAATAGTGAGGGCATAGGATACTAGAAATCCAACAGCTTTCTACAAGGAGGAAGGGCAAAAAACAAACTATTCTAGATGTCTATTAACTCTACTATCCTGCTAAAGAAAACAGTTTCCTACACAATTGTTTACTTTTTAACCACTTCCCGTCTGGCCCATGTATATAAACGGCCAGATGGGAGCAGTGCAGGGGCAGGTGGCCATTTATAAACATCCTCCCCGCTCTCCTGCTTGTGCGCGCTCCCTGGGAGTGCACAGTACCGTGATCCGGTGCCCTCCTCTGGACACAGCGGATCACTGATCGTTGTATGGGACCTCTGTGTGAGGTCCCGATCATGTGATCACTGATTGGCTAATCAGTGATCACATGAAGTGTAGTAAGCAAGATGTCACTTCTGAGATCAATGCTTACTGAAATCTGGGAATGATCACAGAGGTCACATGGTACAAGGCTATTCACAACAGCCTTGTACCATGTGACAAGCTGTGACCAATCACAGCTCACACAGTATTTCTCAATGGCTGCAAGAATGCAGCCAGAGAGAAGGAGAAATGATCGCTTTTACAGCCTTTATGGGTATAAAAGCAATCAGTGTAAAAAAAAAAAAAAATCTTCATCATCCCCCACAAGTAGTACAGTGTCATTATGGTGACACTGTACTGCTAGGGTGACAGCATGTTAAAACAAAAAAACATACATAATATAATAAAATAAAATAAAAATAAAAAGTAAAAAAAAATTATAATTTTTGGTTATAAACGAATTTTGGTTATGTTGTTTTTACTAAAAAGATAACTGAATAAATTTTGGCCAAGATTTATGAAGAAAGATTATTTATTTGCAAAATTTTATAAGACAAACAATTTTTTTCAAAACTTTTGGACATTTTCATTTATATAAACAAAAAAAATAAAAACCCCAGTGGTGAATAAATACAACCAACATAAAGTTTTATCTGTCTCAAAAAAATGCTAAAAAATTAATATGTTGCATGATCGCGCAATTGTCATTCAAAGTGTGATAGCACTGAAAGTTGAAAATTGGCCTGGACAGGAAGGGGGTAAAAGGGTCCAGACTTGAAGTGGTTAAACTGCATTGGAAAACAGAAAACTTTCATTTAAACCGGAGTTCTTATTAAATTCTTAGATTTCTGATGGCCTAATTTTAAGATTTACAAAACATGTCTGTATGTTGGATGTCAATATTGTGTTTCAGTGACTTTTACCAATAACGGTTTTGTTATAGAAGATTCATTATGACGGTTTCAATACTGTAATAGAGGATCCCTTGAAAAGTTCATATAACACCAATTCCATATATGTTGTAATAAGTAACCCAATGGCAGGAGAACAAGGGCAGGCTGGAAATACTAGAACATACAGTACCTAGGAATCTAAAAGGAAGAATAAGCCTAGGCACGGCTTTGATCAAAGATCCTGTAAGAGTCATTGCCTACCACAGTTTAAATGACTCCATGTCTTAAAATAGACTGGCTGGTGATTTAGAAAAGCATTCATACTTCCAAGCACATGAGGTTAATCCTGTAGCAGATGAGACAAGAAGATGACTGCAGTCTCTGAAGACAAAGAGAATACCTTATGAACTAAGGTAGAAAATTCAGGATGCTTTCCTAAAAGGTGAATGTTCTAGCTGTAGTAGAAACAATCAGTACATCGTCAACAAACTTCCAAAAACCACTACTAAGATACCACGGATGAGATACAAAGCATAATGTATTATACATCTTTTTTTAACCTTGCTAGACATAGGTCAATTGAGTATACAAATTCACAGCAAGTGCAATGCCTCATGGAACTACACTAATTTTAGCAAACTATTTGCCTTTGTATATTTAAAGTAAATACTGTATCAAGCCAAACATGTTATTATTTTTATTCTTTCTCTCTAACAGTAGCCATGGATAGAAGGAAATACCATATAGATAGAGGTTCTAGCCCTTACCTACACTATAAACAAAACTTGACATACACATTGAAACCTTTTTTTTTTAACTAACACTTCATACCTGCAAACATAGATATGGTTTAAATATAGGAAAAAGTACAGCACAACTATTTGTGACCATAAATTAATTGATTACTGTGTGTCATGACGGCATGACAAAATGCATCAGAGGTGCAACTACATGGTGTCATCATGCAAACCAGAAAGAAGAAGTAAGCTGTGTATTTTATGTTGTGATGCTGGTTTTTAATGCAAAAATCAACATCAACAACCTCCTAGTGCACTGGAAGTGAGTGCACTAGATTATAAGTGCATTTCTTTTAAAAAAATAAAGGTAATTGGTTTTACACAATAATGATGCTTTAATAATGATAATACACAATAATGATGCTTTAAAAAACGGCCAGTGGAGGAGACATCTTATATTACCCACATACCTGCACGAAAAATATATTTTAAATATATTTTAAAAATATTCTTCCAAATACATTGACATATATATTTGAAATACTATAATTTTGGCTGTATTCTATATATTTATATAAATATATATATATATATATATATTATGTTAAAATACGTTTTTATATTATTATACAGTATTATTATACAGTATTTATATAGCGCCAAAGGGTATGCTCAGCGCTGTACAGTAGCAAGGGGGACAGAACATGAGACAAGACAGTAACAAAACAGTACACGAGGGGATTGTGGGCCCTGCTCTTTCGAGCTTACAATCTAGGAGGGAGGGGAAGGTGGTACAGGAGGAAATGGCTGTGGGGGATGGAGTGGTGGGAGTAGTGGAGGAGGTTGTTAGGTGAGGTCAGGTGTTAGGTGAGGTTGGGGTAGGCTTCCCTGAAGAGGAGGGTTTTCAGGGTGCGCCTGAAGGTGAGGAGGGTGAGTGACAGTCTAATGGATTGGGGTAGGGAGTTCCAGAGGATGGGGGAAGTCCTAGAGAAGTCCTGCAATCGGGCGTGGGAGGAGGAGACCAGGGATCTAGAGAGTAGTTGGTCCTGTGATATATATATTACAAAATATATGAAATATATTTTTTAAAAATATATATTTTTTTTAAATATATTCATCTGATTTTTTTTTAACATATAGATAAGTCATTTTAACATATGTTTTCACATATATTTGTAAATGCATTCCAAAAATGTAGATCAAATGTATTTTTAAAGACATACACTATATTTGAAAATGTATGTTTAAAAATATTTTACATATATTTTGTAATATATAAAAAAAAATTTCAACATACAGTATATATATATATATATATATATATATATATATATATATATATATATATTTATATATATACACATATATATATATATATATATATATATATATATATATATATATTGAATACAGACAAAATTGTAGTATTTCAAATATATGTCAATATATTTTGGGAACAATATTTTTAAAATATATGTTTCTTCCATGTGGGTGGGAGAAGAAGGCTGTCATATCTTGGGATACATCTGGAGACATATTTTGTAATATCCTCCAAGGTTAAAGACCTGAATTAAAAGGCAAAGCGCACTATGATCTATATGTATATGGGTCAATATCTAAAGGTGAGCAGATTGTGTGACTAGTGATAGAGCACAGATGGTGACAATTGGAATTTATTCCCATGGACACAAGGCAGAAGATTGGCACACTTTATTATGAACTAATGAATATAGTCACACAAAGTTTTATATATATATATATATATATATATATATATATACACACACACACAAACTACATGCTTAGATTTAATATACCGGTATACTCACACCGGTTGAACATTAATAGAATAATACATAAATGGAAATTACAGGATTATTTTTTTGTTGATTATCACAGTATTGGATTTATTTATGATCTCAAATAGCTATGCAAACTTTTTGAGTATTCATTTCAGTTGAATGTGGGAACGCATAACATTGTTCAGCTGCAACACTAAAGGAATATTTTCGAAATCAGATTTTTTTTAGACTGAGCATTTAACATAAGGGGTATGATATACTTTAAGGAGTTTTTTTATTTTATTTTTTAACCACTTGCCTACAGGGCACTTATACCCCCTTCCTGCCCAGGCCAATTTCCAGCTTTTGGCGCTGTCACACTTTGAATGACAATTGCGCGGTCATGCAACACTGTACCCATATTAAATTTTTATCATTTTTTTGAGATAGATAGAGCTTTCTTTTGGTGGTATTTAATCACCTCTGGGATTTTTATTTTTTTTTTAAACAAACCAAAAACCTCTGAAAATTTTGAAAAAAAAAATTTTTTCTTAGTTTTTGTTATACAATTTTGTAAATAAGTGACTTTTCTCCTTCACTGATGTGCGCTAATGAGGCTGCAGTGATGGGCACTGATAGGCTGCACTGATAGGTGGCACTGATGAGCACTGATGAGGAGGCACTGGTAGGTTGCCCTGATGGGCATTGACAGGCATCACTGATGAGCGCTAATACATGACACTGATACATGACACTGATATATGGCACTGATAGGCAGCACTGACTGGCACTGATAGACGGCACTGACTGGCACTGTTAGGCGGCACTGACTGGCACTGATAGGCAGCACTGACTGGCACTGATGCACACTGATGCGCACTGATAGGCGACACTGACTGGCACTCATAGGTGGCACTGATTGTCAGCACTGATAGGTGGCACTGGTTGGCATTGATAGGTGGCACTGACTGGCACTGATGGGTGACATTGAAAGGCAGCTCAGATGGGCACTGATATGTGGCATTTATGTGCACTGGTATGCACTGATATGTGGCATTGATGTGGCACTGATGGGCACTGGCACGTGGCACTGATGAGCACTGGACAGGTGGCACTTCTGGGGCCACACTGATCATCAGGGCACACTGATCATCAGTGCCCTGATGATCAGTGTACATGTCTCCTCCGCGGAAAGCCAATTACCGGCTCTCCTCTCCAGCTGTCAGCGTGACAGCTCAAGAGGAGAGAAATGCCTATAACCAGCATTTCCATGTTTACACATGATTGGACACAGCTGATCACATGACCGACATCTTCGGCTCTTTCCATGATCCGCTGTGTCCAAGGGAGCCGCAAATGCACAGTGAGAATAGTAGGACGTCATATGACGTCCTATCAGAATGAGAGAACCACCTTGCACCCATCATTGTACTATAGGGTGGACAAGGTGGTTAAAGAGGGTGAAACAGCAGAGCTGGAATCATGGTAAGAACTCTCATTGGGAAGTTTAATTTCTTCTTTTGTTTTTTAAAAGGATTTAAAAACATTATTAGTATATTATTGGTGGATATACTGTCTTCCACAAACCAAATCCTAATAGTGTCTGGACCTCACTGAGTTCTTAGTTGGCCCACAATATGGTATATTTTAGTTTAGTATGAGTTTATGTCAAACAATGATGAAAGTAGAGAAGACTTTAGTTAAAAGTTCATCCAATGTTGAACTAAGAATTTGATATGTATCAGCTAACTACAGTTGTGGCCAAAATTATTCAACCCCCACTGAAATTGATTGGCCAGTTTGACATTGCTTTTGATCATTCAGTCATCTTGCTTACATTTACATTAAAGAGGCACTTGTAGGTCAGACAAATATAACATAACAGTTATAATGAAATAACCACAAATGTCTTTTCTGTGCTCACAGCATTATCAGTTTTATTCAAGTGACATTCAATCTTAGTACTTAGTACAGCATCCTTTTACAGTTATAACAGCTTTTAAACGTGAAGCATAGCTTGACACAAGTGTCTTGCAGCGATCTACGGGTATCTTCGCCCATTCTTCATGGGCAAAGGCCTCCAGTTCAGTCACATTCTTAGGCTTGCGCACTGCAACTGCTTTCTTTAAGTCCCACCAGAGGTTCTCAATCGGATTTAAGTCTGGTGACTGCGATGGCCACTCCAAAATGTTCCAGCCTTTCCTCTGCAACCATGCTCTAGTGGACTTGGAGGTATGCTTGGGATCATTGTCCTGTTGAAAGGTCCAACGTCTCCCAAGCCTCAGGTGTGACGGACTGCATCACGTTTCCATCCAATATCTCCTGGTACTGAAGAGAATTCATGGTACCTTGCACACGCTGAAGCTTCCCTGTACCTGCAGAAGCAAAACAGCCCCAAAGCATGATTGACCCTCCACCATGCTTCACAGTAGGCAAGGTGTTCTTTTCATCATAGGCCTTGTTCTTCCTCAGAAACATAGCGTTGATCCATGGGCCCAAACAGTTCTAATTTTGTTTCATCAGTCCACAGAACACTATCCCACAACTTTTGTGGTTTGTCCACATGGCTTTTGGCATACTGCAGTCGACTCTTCTTATTCTTTGGAGACAGCAAGGGGGTACGCCTGGGAGTTCTGGCACGGAGGCCTTCATTACGCAGTGTGCGTCTTCATTGTCTGGGCTGAAACTTCTGTACCCACATCTGACAAATCTTTTCTCAGTTCCTAGTTTCTCAGTTCCTCAGCAGTCACACGGGGACTTCTCTCCACTCTACGCTTCAGGTAGCGCACAGCAGTCGAAGTCAGCATCTTCTTTCTGCCACAACCAGGTAGCGTTTCAACAGTGCCCTTTGCCTTGAATTTGCGAATGATGCTTCCTAAGGTGTCTCTTGGTATGTTTATATCTTTGCAATCTTCTTATAGCCATTGCCCTTCCTGTGAAGAGAAATCACCTCTTCTCTTGTCTTCCACCATTCTCTTGCCTTCACCATGTTTGTAACCACACCAGTAAATGTCTAGAAGGAGCTGAGTATCACAGTCATTTTAAAAGCTGCCTAATTGGTGCTTATTATGCTTGATTGCTGCTCGGTGACATCCACAGGTGTTTTCAATACCTGATGGAAAGCACCTGTATGAACCTTTCTTCAGAGTGGTAGTCTTTAAGGGGTTGAATAATTGTGGCAATGAAGAAACCACATAAGAACCATTTACTCTGTATTACATAAACAATTGATGTCATTTTAGTTGCATTTGGGTAGTTACAACGTCCTTGTAGGATTTGATTCTGAATACAATTCCAAATGTACACTATAGTCCCTAAACCCCTTTACAGCATTGGGGGTTGAATAATTTTGGCCACAACTGTACATGAGATTGTTTCAAAGAAAATTAATGAGTAGTTGGGAAGTGCGGCTGGGTGCCTAAACAGAAAGAAAATAGAGGACAGAAAAGTGAAATGTGCCAGAAGAAAGGGAGAGAGAATAAGATTGGAGTACTAGCTAAGGGGTAGTGAGGGAAATAGGAAGGTGAGGGAAAGAAATAGAGGATGTTTCATCACGGCTGAATTGATCTTGTAGGGACATCATCCAAAACTCAGCCATTAAATGTGGTTGACAATTGGGACATAGACCAAGAGGTCCAAGTTTTTTGTACTGTTCCTCCCCGAGAACATACATTCTAGTCCAACTCCACAGCCCACACTATGGTAGGTACGGTCATGGATTTTCAGTGCAGGGTACAACCGTTCTAGCTGAGGACATCTTTCTTGGCAGATTTAAGAGGACTGGGGAGCAAAGAGAGAAGAGTTTTTCAGGGGAGAAGGGGATGTGTGTCACCATAATGTCGCAGTATATTTGTAAAACTTTAATTCAAAATTATTTTATTGAAGGACAGTCCTTCAATAAAATCATTTTGGATTAAATTATCCTTTCCAAGATTTTATATTTAGTTTTTATTTGGATTTTAAGATTTCAGATTTAATAAGTGGAACCATGTCCCAACAGAGTTATGACATCTCCAGCATGTGTCAGGAGTTGAATGGACAAAGTGATGAAGGGTAGCACGGCATACATACCATCTTGTGATGAGTCTAAATCCCTTCTCCTGGATCTTAGTCACTAAAACCAAAGTAGGCCTTAGAATAAAACAGTTTTCCCAATCCTGGAGTGTAATATAGGATATGGATTAGGAGTGGGCTGTGGAGTTGGACTAGAATATATGTTCTCAGGGAGGAACAGTACAAAAAACTTGGACCTCTTGGTCTATGTCCTAATTGTCAACTACATTTAATGGCTTGGTTTTGGATATGGAATATGTGTATATGAATTAGGATCTCATTTCCCAAGTTTGCGTATATGAGTGGAGGTTCAGATGTGCCAGGGAGAAGAGGATTGAGTACAAGAAGGAAACAGTCGGGGAATGGGGGGAGGGGAGTTTTAGGAGCAGCGATTCAACTGCATGGGATCAGGAAATAATACTGGAAAGGCTCGGAATGGAATGTGTGAAGGACAAATATGATTGTATTTGAAACCCAAAGACGTAGGGTGGGAGCATTACTGTGGTTGCCTCAAGAGGATAGTAAGAATGGGTCATTTTGTACAAACTGAAGAAGTCTGCAGTGGTCTGTAATGATAAGGACTGAAGGTAGATGTATACAGAGCCAAATGAAAAGGCAAGAGTGCAGAAAGAAAGGGTTATAGGACCTATATATTGCAATAACTGGAGATCTTCAAGAGTGTGGTCTCACATGGATAGAGTGCATTTGGTAAGATTTGGGAGGGGAGGCAGGGCCCTGTGTAGCATAGGAAGTATCCAGATTAGAGCTAGGAGGTCAACCGAGGACACACAGTGTTCGCATTGAAACCAGAGTTTTGAGGATGGATGGTGAAACCATTCAAGTATCCCGGTGAGTTCTGCTGCTTTATGAAAGGGGATTCAGGGGTAGGTGAATTTCCAGGTAACATAAGGGCTTGGAGCAGTGTCAGTTGTCATATAGTTGTTGCACTTGAGTAGGGATTAAGTATATTTAAGATTTCAGATTTAGTATGTTTAGTTGTTGAATAGGCCAACAACAGCAGTTCCCATACTTTTCTTATGACAGAATCACATTAAACAATGAGCTACAGAGGCATTTTCCAACCTTTTTACAGTCACTGCACCTGTAATTTGCAAGTATGCAAAATCTCGAAGAACCCCAGTCTAAAGTGTACAAAAATGTAAACATTACTTACTATCAATGAAAGATAGGTTTACAATACATGCTAAAGTACTGTTGATAATTTTTAATTTCCAGCTTTACATGAAAAAAAAAATGTAAGAACAGAGCATATTCTTCTCCCTGTGTAAAGTCATCTAATTAGAGGGTTGCTAAGATACGGCCTTACACCTCCACGTGTGAAAATCGCAGCTCTCTGCTAAATTTGTAACTTTGTATAATGGAGAACAGGCTCAAGTGTGTGGCTGATGTATGCAATACTGAGTTATGTTCTGTGTTCATCTTTTTTACAGGAGAAAACAACCTTGTCTGTATCTTTATGTACTCCCATGTAGTTCTCAGTATAGTATATCCTTTTTAGTCTCCAGCTAGACAGGCAAATAATTATATTGTTCGTACAATTACAATAAAAAAAGCACACAAAATGTATGTGGGGAGACCTATACATATTTCTGGCTTTGTTCCCTCCGACCCTGATGCTTTTTTACTGTTTCTGTCGTTACATTTTTTAAGAAAATACAGTTCAGGGAATGCATGTGCCTTAAATACCTTTAGAACTTCCATTGCATCCAAGCTTCACTATCTTGTAGAGCTTCAGGCATCCACTATAACCTTCAAATTTAGATGAATGTATTTTATTGTCCTTAGCCACTATTTAACCAGAACTCTCTGTAGCTCTGAAGGGATATACTAGCGATATGGCTGCCCATGGGAGAACCACAGTAGGTAAGAAGGCCATGTGGGCATCTGGAGCACCCAAAAGTGTCTAATGCTGAAAATTCTAGTGTGTCCTCTAACTCTTCAAGGGAGCAAAGATTAGATGCAATGGAGGCTCTAAAAGTAGCATAGAATGTATTTGTTTTGCAATCCTTTCCTTAACTGAACCTTTAGGCTCCATGCACACTGGAGGGGTGTTTTAATAACGCTGGTAACGTTAACTGTGTAAAGTCACGTTAAAAACGTGAGTTTTTCAGCGTTTTTTAACATTAGAGTTTGCAGCGCTTTTATTACCTAAAAAAATTTTTTTTACAGCTATAAAACTTCTCTAGAAACCCACTAGTTCTGGGGGGTTTTTCCAGCCAAAATATACCCCTGTCAAAAA